TGCAGGAATGTGCCGCTCCTGAATTTTTGCCAACTGCCATTTGAAATACTCCCACGTGTTTGATGTGGATTTATCCTCTAACAGCCACCTGCAATCAACACTTTCCGGTTCCTGCATAATATTCTTGTCATTCACCTTCCCCCAGTTTAACACCTTCACCCGAGGACTGCTGTTATCCCTATCCACGAGCATCTTAAAATTCATGGTATTATGGTCACTTTTCCCGAAATGCTCCCTCACTGAAACATCACTCACCTGAACAAAGAACAATACAGCACAGGAACAGGCCCTTGGGCCCGCGAAGCCTGCACCGCCACATTTTGTCCTTCCATACTAAAACTGTCTTCACTTACAGGATCTGTATCCCTCTATTCCAGTCCTATTCATGTATTCATCCAGGTGCTTATTGAATGCTGCTATTAAGTCTACTTCCACTACCTGCTCTGGCAATGCATTCCAGGCACTCATCACTCTGCTAAAAACTTGCCTTGCACATCTCTTTTAAATATCCCCCTTCACACCTTGCCGGGATCATTTACCAAAACCAGGTCACTGTAACCCCTTCCCCGCGTGGACTGTTTATGTACTCTGTCAAGAAACCCTCCTGAATGGTCCTTACAAACTCTGCTCCATCCAAGTCCCTAGCACGAAGCGAGTCCCAGTCAACATAGGAGAAATTTAAATTACCTGCCACAACAACCTTGCTGTTTTTACTTCTTTCCAAAATCTGTCTAAATATTTTCTCCTCTATCTCCCACTAGCTGTTGGAAGGCCTATAGCATTCGTCCAGCATTGTGATTTCACTTTTCCTATTTGTGAGCTCTACCCATATTGCATCGCAGCATGAGTCCTCTGATGCATCCTCCCTCAGCACAACTGAGGGATACTTCCTTACCAGCAAATCACCTTTCCCCATCCCTTTTATATCCCTTATCACACCTGAAACACCTAAATCCTGGGATATTCAGCAGCCAGTCCTGTCCCTCTTTCAGCCAAGACTCTGTAATTGCAATAATGTCATAGTTCCAAGAACTAACCAAAGCTCTAAGTTCATCTACCTTGCCTGTTATACTTCTTGCATTGAACCATGCATTTCAGACCATCACCCCTACTCTTGTCAGGGGTGTTTCACTGCCTGTTCTTGTTCTTAGTCATATTTGCCTTGGATTCTACCTCTCCCCTCAGTTTCTGCATCTACTGCTCTACTCCTCTGGCTCTCATCCCTCTGCTACACTAGTTTAAACCCTCCCCAACCACTCTACCAAGTAGCCCCCTGCCAAGGACATCAGTCCCGGTCCTGCCCAGGTGTAACCTGTCCAGTTTGTACAGGTCCCACCTCCCCCCGAACCGGTCCTAATGCCCCACGAATCTGAAACCTCCCCCTCACACCATCTTTCCAACCACATGTTCATCCTATACATCCTGCTGTTTCTACTCTGACTAGCTTGTGGCACCGGTAGTAAGCCTGCGCTAACTACCTTTAGGTATTACATTTCAACTTTTTTCCAAATTGTCTATATTCTGTTTTTAGGAGCTCAACCCTTTTTTCTTTAAAATCTGTGTCGTTAGTACCAATGTGTCCCATGACTACAGGCTATTCACCCTTCCCTCCAGGATGTCCTGCTAAGTTCCAAGACATCCAGGACCCTGAGCACCAGGGAGGCGACACACCATCCTGGACTCTCTTTTGCAGCCACAGAAATGCCTATCTGTTCCCCTTGCGATTGAATCCCCTGTAACTGCAGCTTTCTACATCTATTTCTCCCTCCTTCTGCAGCAAAGCTAACCATGGTGCCATGAATTTGGCTGATACTGTTATCCCCTGAGAGGCCATTCCCCTCAACAGTATCCTAAACAGTATATCTGTTTTACAGGGGAATAGCCACAGGAAATTCCTACACTGCCTGCTTAGCTCTCCTGCTCTGCCTGGTGGTCACCCAATCCCTTCCTGCCTGTTAAGTTTGAGTCTGCAGTGCGACCACCTCTCGAGACATGCTACCCACGACACTCTCCACCTTGCGAATCCTTCATAGTGCCCCCTGACATCACCCCAACTCTGAAACTCGGGCTTCCAGGAGCTGCAGCTAGAGAGATTTCTTGCATACATAGAGGTCCCGGGCAGTGGAAATATGCCCTGCTTTCCACATCGGCCAAAAGGAGCAGACTACGATTTGGAACTCTCCTGCCATGTCTTGCCCCTTTCATTTAATTAATCCTTACAATTTTCCTAGCAATTTCTGCTTTTTGTTTCAGATTTCTAGCCTCCATAGCTCTTCATTTTATTTTACATCTATTAGTTCATTCACCACTTCTTTTAAGACCCCAATATGAAATCCATCTGAACCCAGAGACTTGTTCAAAGCTCCATCATCTGGCTCAATGTCACTTCTCATGATTAAAGTTTTGCTAAGTTCCTCTCTCCTTTCCACCTCCTGATTTACAGCTATTACTACAATATTTTTGTGTCTTCTACACTGAAGACTGAAGCAAAATGTTTCTTCATTTATCCACTGTTTCTTTATTCTAATAACTTTCTATTCTCACTCAATACACGGCCGGTACTTACTTGTTCTTTTCCTTTCTGAAATACCTGCAAAACTCTTGCTATCAATTTTTACATTCCTAGCTAGGTTCCTTTCTATCTCGAATTTCTTCCTCCTGATGATTCTTTTAGTCATTCCTACCATTCTTCATATTCTGACCAACTATCTGACCTGCCACTGATCTTTGACCAGTTACATGCTTTTTTTCCCGCAAGTCTGATGTTTCCACCAACTTCAAGTTAATCACGGTTGGTGATTCGCCCTTTAGAAGATCTTTGTTATGGTAGGAATGTATTTATTTTGAAGCATTCCCTTAGATATCTGTTGATCTGTCTGCTAATCTGTTACACCATTCACTTCAGTCAGCTCAGTTTTCACGTCCACATAGTTACCTTTATTTTGGTTAAAAACACTAGTTTTAGAGTCAGTCCTCTCCCTTTCAAACTGGACATAAAGTTCAATCATATTGTGGTCACTGTAACCTAGAAGTAGCTTAACTCTGAAGTCATTAATTAATCCTATCATATTACACTATTATTAGACTAATATAACCTCCTTTCTGGTGATTTCCAAATTGTGATGCTCTACAAAATTCTTGAAAACATTCTATGAACTCCTCATGCAGACTACTACTATCACTCTGATTTTTCCAGGTCTTATGGAGGCTAAAGCCACCCACGATTCTTGCTGTCCCCTTTTAATAAGCATGGAATATTTCTTATATACTTCTTTTGTTGACTATTCCCTCCAGTGACTCATTACCTCATCTATTCTACATCCTGATCTGCTGAACCAAGGTCAAATCTAACTACTGCACAAATACCATCTTTGATTAACAACGCTACCCCTCCAGATTTTCCCAGCAAAGGATGAGGATATTTCTGGAGACTCTTCCTTCAGTGATTGTTTAATTATCCACAACCATTCACTGCCTTGACATGGTAGGACATGGGAGCTGAAATCAGATCCGTCAATCATCTAATTGCATAGCTCTGTCTGTTGCATGCTGTTTTTGCTATTTAACATGCAAGTAGTCCTGTGCTGTACCTTTAGCAGGTTGACATCTCATTTTGAGATGTCTGGTGCTGTTCCTGGCATGCCCTCCTGCACGCTTCAATGAACTGGGATCAATCCTCTGATTTATTTGTAATGGTAGATGGGAAAATGCTGTGCAATGAGGTATGAATGGTGGTTGAGCACAATATGCTGCTTTATGAATTCTACAGTCAATGTTGAGGAATCCCAGAAAGACACTCTCCCAACTGTATACCACAGTACCTCTATGGTGGCTCTGTCCTGCTGGACAAAATCTAGAGGGATAGGGTTGGTGTTGTCTAGGACACAGTCATAGACTCAAAATCATACATACAGACAATGTCAGGTTGTTGGTTGACTAGGATGTGAAACAGCTGTTCTAATTTTGGCATAAGCCCCCAGGTGTTCATAAGGAGACCTCTGTAGGGTAAACTAGGCTATTTATGTCACAGTCGCTTCTAGTGTCTAGGTTGATGTAGGGTGGACTGCCCAGATGAATACTCTCTTCAGACTTTGCAGTGTTAATGTACTAACCAAGACTGTAATGAGCTCAGGAGCTATACGGCCCTGACATAATCCAGACTTGGTTTCAGTAAGCAAGTTATTGCTGAGTGAGTGCAGCTTGATCGTACTGTCAATGACCCCTTCAAACAGAATTGTCCCAACGAAGGATGTAGTTAATCAGCCTTACATGTCTTACCAGCTCTCCAAATGAGCATCATGACGTACTGTCATTCGTCTGTATTATCCCATAAGCCTTTAGGTTATTTTCATTCAAAATAATCATCCAATACCCTCTCGAATGTCTCAAATGAACTAGCCTCCGCCATACTTCCAGGCAGTGCATTCCAGATCCAATCCACTCTGCTAAAAAGTTGTTTCTCATCTTATATTTGCTTCTTGAAATCTGTGCCTTCTAATCCTTGGTTCTTTATGAGTGAGAACAATTTCTCTTCATCTACTCTGTCCAGACCCCACATGATTTTCAAAACTTCTATCCAATCTCCTCTTAGCCTATTCTCCAAACAAAACAGACCCAACTTCTCTTATTTATCCTCCTAAGTGATGTTCCACATCCCTGGAACCATTCTCTATGCTGATGATTGAGAGGAGACTGCTTTTTGCAGAAAGGTCCTGTTTGAGCAATTTGTAACAGTGCCAGATGATGACAGCGTTGTAGCTGCAGAGAACAGCTTGGGTAGTAACGTGTCTACTTCTAGAGCACAAGTCTTGTTAGAGATCTGCCATAATAAATCCTCATGAAGACCAACATAAACAGGCTGCTTGCAAAATAGAATGAGAAAAAATTGTATCTTTGTCAGATGAGTTATCGATGAAAATCTAATATAATCCAGCAGTTTTAAACAAAAAAAAAAAATGCTGGTTAGCAGAATTAACATCCTAACTGTAGACTCCCAATACCTTTCTCTCGGCTATCCGTAAGCAGATCTTCAGTATAGCATGGGCTCTCTCCACTGCCTTCATTGGCTATGGTGAGGAATGTTGGTGAAACAGACTGGGATCGGCTGCTGCTGGTACTGCTCCGGTCCATTCCTGATGGGGTCTGAGTGTCAATACTGCGGGTACTACTGCTTCGCTGCTGTACAGGAAACGGAGCACGATGACCATCTGGAGTATCTTGCGGCTAACACACAAAATCAGAGTGCAAGAGTTAACCAATTACTTTAATTACATTATGATAGCTCCTACATTATTTTATTCATGTTGAAGTTCCTATATTACAACAGTGGCTACATTTCAGAAGAATGTCATTGGCTGCTCTCGGTTGTCCTGAGATTGTGAAGTGCAAGTTCTTACTCAACAGATTTGTTCAGGCCAGTTCAGAATCTAGATGGATTGGAAGTGAAGAAAGGAATAGAAACTGGGTTCAAATACACAAACAAGAGAAGGAAAGGATTAACTGAGGAGTAAAATACTGCAAAATTGGTTCGCTCGGGTACGTCTTCGAGTAAAAAGCAGTTGTATGTAAATCTCTTGGCTTTTAGGGTACAAAAAAATAAATACAGGAGCTCATAAAAGGTATGCAGCTGAATCACACAAAAAAAAATAATGAGTTTATTAGGTCATGAATTAGATATATTTTTAAAAATTAACATTTCAGGAAAGTATTTTGTGGGGAGGCAATGGCCTAGTGGTGTTATTGCTAGACTGTAATCCAGAGGTCCAAGTAACATTCTGGGAACCTAGGGTCGAATACTGCCATGGTAGATGGTAGAATTTGAATGCAATAAAAATCTGGAGTTAATAGCCTAATGATGATCATGAAACTGTTGTTGACTGTCAGAACAATCCATCTGGTTCACTCATGTCCATAGAAAGGCAATCTGCCATCTTTTAGTGAAGGAAACTGCCATCCTTACCTGGTCTGGTATACCCTTGTTTCCAGACTCATGGCAATGTAGATGACTATGACTCTTAACTGTCTTTAGAACATTTAGGGACGGGTAAAATTTGCTGGCCTAGCCAACAGCGCCTATATCTCATCAATGAATTAAAAAAACAACACTGGCTGATCCACAAAGATCACCACTAGCAGAACCACACAGACCAAGAACTTTTGATTTGCGAGCATTATGGAGGAACAAGCAAGAAAATGGAATTAAGACCACATCACGTTAGCCATAATCTTAGTTACTGGCAGAGCAGGCCTGAGGGGTTATATAGCCTGCTGAGATTTTAGGTTGAGGAGGAATTTGGTTCAATCTTAGTGTGGCAAATGTATCATATAATGCCTTGAATTTAGAAAAGTATCTCAAAGCTCCTTCAGACAAAAGTGAACAGTTAATGCAAACAAGTTAAGATACTAGGGCAATCAAATGTTGAGTCAAAAACACACCTTAAGGAAGATCCACAGCAAAGGGATTCCAGGAGTGTTTCTAAGCATCGGGCCTAGACTTTGAAGGAATGCAAATGGTGGCAAAGGTGAAATTGTTGTGCAGATGTGAAAGAAGCCAGAGTCAGAAAAAGATATACAAGGGTGTGTAACAATCTTTTGGACTGATTACACTTAATGCTAAGTGCCTTGGAATACTGCGAGTTGGGACCAGCTCTAGGACGACAATTATTTGAAATCTTGCTCAACATCTTGGATGACAAGACTGAATTTATGGTTACTAAATTTGCAATCACACCAAGAAAGTAAGCTGTCAAGACAAGGGAGAAAGTTTGCAAAAGGATATGGACAGGTTAACCGAATGGGCAAAAAATTTGCATTGTGGGGAAAATTGAAATTGTTGGGAATGGCACAAAGAATACAAAAATAATACCATTTAAATGGAGAGAAGTTGGTGGTACAGAGCAATGTGGATGGCCTGGTACATGAATCACAATAAGTTAGTCTGCAAGTTCAGCAAATGATTAGAAAGACATATGGAATATTGTTGTTTATTGCAAGGGGAAATGGAATATAATACTGGGCAAGTTCTACTGCAGCTGCACAGGGTCTTGGTCAGTCTTCACCTGGTGTGTAACGTACTGCTTTGGTCTCCTTTATTGAGTAAACAATATAGTTAGTAACTGTTAGTACAGAACTCAAGTAACAAACGTTTCACGGAGAATTCACCAGTTAGAGGGTGAATGGCAGTAAATTGCCAAGTTTTGTTTAAACTAGGCACATTGACCATGACTGATCAAGGCACTGCCCTAAGAGATGAATGAGAATGATTCTCACCTGCTTGCACACACATGGAGCTTGCTTCAACTCAGTTATTTCTGCCTGCAAAGAACTGGGTCTTGTTCCTGGAAATACATTCCCAGCAATGAAATATGTAGGGAATTATGGCACATGAGATTAAGGGTCACAAACTGCTGTGACTGAAGTATGAAGAGAGACTGCATCATTTTAGACCATATTCACACGATTTTATTAATGAGGGGGGAATCTTAGAAACCTGTAAAATTCTAACAGCACTGGATCGGGTAAACACAGGAAGGATATTTCCAATGGTTGGGGAGCCCAGAACCAGGGGTAACAGTTGAAGGTTACAGCACGGATCATTTAGAATGAGTTGAGCAGAAACGTCTTCACCCAGAGAGTGGTGAACCTGTGGAACTCTTTGCCACTGAAAGTGGTTGTGGTCAAAACACCATGTTTTCAAGAAAAGAGTTATATATACTTCTCAGGGTTAAAGGTATTAAAGAGTATGGGGAGGAAGTGGCAACAGCGTACTGAGTTGGATGATCAGCCATTATCATATTGAGTGGGGCCACAAGCTCAAAGGCCATTTGGCCCACTGCCACTCCTATTTTCTGCGCTAGCCAGGGGACACAGTCTTAGAATAACAGGCAGGCCATTTAAGACAGAGATAGGGAGGAATGGTGAATCCTTAGAATTCTGTCTCAGAGGGCTGCTGAAGATCAGTCACCAAATATGTTTAAGAGTGATCAACAGGTTTTTGTATACTAACAAAGTGAGAGATATAGGGGAGAGCATTGGGAAAATTTTCCCAGAGGTATAATCAACTATTATCTGTTTGAATTACAGAGCAGGCTTGATGTGTAGAATGGACTATTTCCGTTATTTCCAATGTTCCATGGCTATCAGAAGAAAGCAAATACCAACCAATAACAAGCACTCCAAAAGGATGTACCTTAGCAAAGCAGCACCTGACTGCATTCACGATGATAAGGATGGTAAGGATTAACTTGTCTCTATGAACCAATGTTCCTAGAAATCCAGAAATAGGCTTACAATTAATGGATAAAATCAAAGAGACAACATTAAAATGTGCTGTGAGAATTCTAAACTTCAGTGCAAGAAAGTGAATGGAGTTTCTTAAGACCTTGAGATATAGGAGCAGAATTAGGCCACATAGCCCATTATTGAGTGTGCTCTGCCATTTGATCACGGCTGATATGCTTCTCAACCCCATTCTCCTGCCTTCTCCCCATAATCCTTGATCCCCTTACTAATCAAGAACCTATCTCGGTCTGAAATGCATTCAATGACTTGGTCTCCACAGCTTTCTGCAGCAACTACTTGCACAGATTCACCACCTTCTGGCTGAAGAAATTCCACCTCATCTCAGTTTTCAAGGTCGTCCTTTCAACCGGAGGCTGTGCCCTCAGGACCTAGTCTCTCCGACTAGTGGGAACGTCATCTTCATGTCCACTCTATCCAGGCCTCTCAGTGTTCTCTAAGTTTCAATTAGATACACTTCAACGAAATTTCACTTTGAAACCTGTTGGATGCATGCTAATAATAAATAAAGACCTGAAACATATTTATGTGTATTGTGTGCAAGAAGTTTGAATAAAATCAATGCATGTAGTTAAAAGACTGTCACTATGTCAGTGGTTAGTCAGCTATTTCTGTTTAATTTATCTTGCAAGACTCAGCACGTTCAGGATAGAGGAATAAAGGAATGAAAAAAGTAAAAATACTGTTTGGTAGAAGTCTGCTGGCTAGATTATTTTTGCAAAGAAGCGTGGTTTCTAAGGATATGTCCCTACATATTTCACGGCTGAGAATATATTTCCAGGGTCATCTCCATGCCAGTAATGACTAGTGAGCAGGATGCGAAATATTTCCCCCCTGCTGGGATGTATCTCAAAGCTTCTCAAAATGTTTTTAAGTATTCATGCAAGTGCCATTTAAAAAGTAAATACAGAGTTGATTGCCTGAATTTTGGCTTATTGTTTAATAAACACTAAATAATTAAGCATGCATTTCCAACAAAATGCACTGCTATAATCATAAGTTATTTTTGGTGAATTTATGCCTCAAGGAATGCAAGTGCGGATTAGAAATGCTGGCGTAGTTGTGTTGGGTTAAGTGGCCTGGAGCCTCTAGGCAACTCTATTGTTGAAGTACTAAGTAATCCAGAGACCCAAGTAACATTCTGGGAACCTAGGGTCGAATACTGCCATGGTAGATGGTAGAATTTGAATGCAATAAAAATCTGGAGTTAACAGCCTAATGATGATCAAGAAACTGTTGTTGACTGTCAGAATAATCCATCTGGTTCACTCATGTCCATAGGGACCATCTCACGCCAGGGACCATTTTAGCAGCAAATTTATAAATTGCATGCTTTCTTAAAATGAAAAATATAGACAACACCTGTTTTCTTCCTTAATATATTCACACTGGAACGAGAATTCATAAATTCTACACAAAGTCAGTTCAGTAACACAACTGATAAAATTGCAATATCTTCTTGGAACTTTTAACAAGTCCAAAGATGTGCGAGCTAGGCAGAATGGCCATGCGAAATTACCCATTGTGTCCAGGGATGTTTAGGTTAGGTGAAGTGACCATGGGAAATGCAGGGTTAGAGGGATAGGGTGGGGGGTGGGTCTGGGTGGGGTGCATTTTAGAGGGTCAGTGTAGACTCGTTGGGCTGAATGGCCTGTTTCCACACTGTTACAATTCTATGGAATTACAAGATACCATAATTAGAAATGCAGGAATAAATAAAAATATATAGTTGATATGGGCCGACAAGCACCACTGAAACTTCCATTCTTATAGATCAATTAGTCATTCAAATAACTCTTACTTCTGGTATCTCGCTATGTGCAATATGTTTAATAGGCTTCCTATGTAACTAACTACAAATCAAGTGTTTTAGGACAGCCCCACCCCAAAAAATTGGCCATCATAAGGCACTGTGTTAAACAAAT